ATAAACAGATACTGTTTGTGCTCATTATAAACCCAAATTGTTAAAATCTGATTTGACTTCCTCTTAATAGGATTATTTTTAATATCTTTTTATGGAGACAACTACCTGCTGCTAATATTTTATGAGAGTGATAATATTTATGTTTTCTTTCTTTTTTTTTTTTTTTGTAATGGAGTTTCACTCTAGTTGCCCAGGCTGTAGTGCAATGGCACAATCTGGGCTCACTGCAGCCTCCATGTCCTGGGTTCAAGCTATTCTCCTGCCTCAGCCTCCCAAGTAGCTGGGATTACAGGCATGTGACACCATGCCCGGCTAATTTTGTATTTTTAGTAGAGTCAGGGTTTCACTATGTTAGTCAGGCTGGTCTTGTACTCCCAACCTCGGGTGATCCACCCACCTTGGCCTCCCAAAATGTTGGATTACAGGCGTGAGCCACTGTGCCCAGCCATATTTATGTTTTCTTTCTGTGACAAATTATAGTCAGCAAACTACATCCTGTGGGCCAAATCCAGCTTGCCACCTGTTTTGGAATGACTTGTGAATTAAGAATGGACTTTAAATTTTTAAATGATTTTTTTAAAAATCAGAAGACAAGTCATATTTCATGTAACACATGAAAATTATATTTATGTTTATATTTATATCTATGTTTATAAAACCTATTATAAAATATTATAAATAATATTTAAGCTGAAACATGACAAATCTTGTCAACAATTTATGTGACAGATAAGAACATTAAGCTGCAGATTTATAAAAGGATTTTCCCAAAGTTTTATAACTAGGTAGTAACAATTCAGAAATCTGTGAAACATGTTTTCTGCTTTTAAATTGAGTATTCTTTCTGCTCTTATTATCTTACTTCTTCATTTACAAATAATTTCAGGCTGTAAAGAAAATAACTCATAAATTAATTGAGTTATTTTTATAAAGTTAACTCATTAATTGGTAGTAAATTTGGATTTTATAGTAATTATTGACAGATAGATTTCCAATGTGATTTTTCCAAATGCATTTTTTTCTTTGATAACATGCTTTACAGTTAAATATTTTATAAAGTGCCTATGTAAAAATTTCATTAGCAAATAAATAATAAGGGGAAAGTTTTCAAATAAATTGTAAAGGTTTTCTTAGTTTATATATGCATTTTTTAGATAACGATTTATATAATTATGTTTATTTTCAAATATTTTATATTTTCAAGATTATCTTACCTACTTCATGCAACATTATAGTATTCAGTACTGATGTCATCATTTCATCTACCAGACATAGTAAAATTTGCTTGACTAAATCATATGTAATAGAATTTTCTTCTTCCTATTTAGAAAAAACAATGTTGACAGAGCTGATCAGTTTTTACACGTTTCATTATTTTTTATATGACCTTGTACATTTGTTACAATATCTCTTTACCTATTAGATTTGTCTTAAATTAATTTTTGGTTCTTTCCAAATTAAATAAGAAATTACTTGTCACACCACATATGAAAACAATTATATAAAGATACACTTATTTAATGTAAGACAATTGCTTTTCACATGTTTCTGTTTGCATTTTAAATATTTACTACTGAGTTGCAAAACACTAATATTGGAACAATATTTCTGCTTCCATACATGCTCGCTAAATGTAATGTTCATCAGGGTTTTAATAATTATACTATAAAACATACTGTCCCCACATTCCTCTTTAATTTTATGTTATTAACAACTGCCTTTTTCCTTTTTCTGTTGTTTCAGTTAAAGGATCAAGAAAGTTAAGTCTGCCAACAGATCTTAAGGCTGATCTTGGTACGGTAGGCAAAAGCCAACAATTGTAAGTTTTCTTACATTCATTTGGCTGAACATTTTTACAAACCAATCCATGAATAGCACAAGTTTCCTAGATGGCGGTGTTTGATAGCTTTCCAAAAAGGCTTTCTTAAAAATCACCATACAGTTCTGTTGGCAGTATTCAACATTTTGTTTGTTTACAATCATTTTACAAAATTATGATTTATAAATCATTATACACCAAGGTATGTAATGTTTTGTATGTTTCCTTTTTATCATGGAAATGTTTTAAAACATTGAATAGTCACACATATAGACCCTTTGTAACCCCTTGTAATCATGTAAATAACCATGGTGTTCTGTAGTTATTTTCCCTATTTTGAATATTAGTATTATTTAGAATTAATGCTAATGCTATTTAAAGAAAAATAATCTGACACATAAGGAGCTCTAGCCATTTTTCTACTTTAAGGAAGTTATAGAAAATTTAATTCATTTTTAGGTGTTGTGGTGGTCACAGACTTATTCATAAATCTAACTGAAATAAAGTAAGGCTTTATTAAATAGGCTTTCATAAATTTTTCATTTAGAACTATTTTCTGCTTATTCCAGCATGGGTTTTTGTTCATTCGTTTGTTTGCTTGTTTTTAGGCAGTTTTTGTTGAAATTGTATTGGATTATCTTTATTTTCATTTTCTTTACTCTTAACTAAAGCATAGCATTAAATCCTACCAAAGTCATAGGTAAAATAACAAAAATACACTAATTAGTTTTTGCATTATTATTCAGAGTTTACAAAACTGTTTCACATTATTTTCTTTTTAAGCAACTCTTTAAGGTTGTTTTCACTTTTTTCCCAAGATCAGAAACTAAGGTTATATTGTTAATAAATTGTAGAGTCACGATTTGAACCTAAGCAACTGAACATAGTATCCAAAGCTTATGGAGTATATTCACACATCTTATCTCATTGTATTTAAATAATTGTTATAACACATTTAGTTTATGACACTTAAAGTTTAATTACATATAATCCTATATGAATTTGATTAAATGAGATAATTATAGCATTTTAAAATGCAGAGCACTAGCATGTTAGCTATTGTCATTAATTCAATGTGAATATTAAAGAAATTGTTATGAAGTTAGCATTTTACAAGTATAATTGATGTCAAAGGAAGAACCAACATTATAGTCTCATTTATTAACCTCCTACTGTGTGTCAGAAACTATGCCATAAGATTTATACGTATTGCCTGAGATAAGGTAGGTGACATTTTTCTTTACAAATGAGTAAATTACAGCTATGAAAAATTCAAACTTGTCTAAGGTCACATAACTACTAGCAATACTAAAATTTAATTTAACTCAAGTCAATATGATTGACAAGCTTGTACAACTACCATCATTTTATGTAGCATATACTGTGACAAATGTCAAATGAAAACTATTTAAAGCATAATACCTTTCTTTAGATAAATATGCATTAATGACTTGTATTCATATAATAAATCATAATTTCCTTTCTAAAATATTTAAAAGAAGAGTATTGCCAGCCTCCTTCTATATTTATTAGAAGTAGCAAAGAGAACTTATAGTTATCATTCTAATCTGGAGGTCAGTTAGGTATGTTGTTATTGATAAACATTATTAATATATCTCTAAATGTCAACTTCTCAAAGTCTTCAACTCTCTCCCTCCCAATTACTTCATTCTCACTATTCTCATGTATATTTTTAAAATATGAATTATGAAAATTTAAATATATATTAAAATAGTCAAGTGCTTAACACCTAAATGAAGGCTCTTTTGCACTTAAAAAGAGTCACAATAAAATTTTATTAAATTACTATTTCTAGAAATGTTGTCAATGTTATTTCATTTTTAAAACTTATTTCCACAAATTTACAGAAAATTGTCATAAGGATTCTGAAAGAAGATAAATATCTGTATATGTGAATTCTTCCTGTATAAAGCCTTGGGGTAAAACATACCCCTGGGTTGTTTGTAATATGCTTTAGGAAGATTATTTTCTAGTAGCCTACAATCTATTAGTGAAGGAGGAAGAAATATAGGAAGGTGTTTCAGTAGGCCAATGAGGGCCTGAATTAGCTAACAACAATGAAAACAAAAGGAGGAAAAAGGGATTTACTGTGGGAGACTTTGCAGCTGATGAGATTGGGAGCAGTGGGGGAACAGGGCTGGTAAGGCATAGGAAATAGGAAGAGTCAAGGAGAGCTACAGAGTGCTGAGAATAGCTCCAGTGGAGAATACCTAGTTTGAAAGGGAAGGAAAATGAGTTTGAGTTGTTAGGTTGATATCCATGTTAAACATTCAGTGAGCATTTAGAAATGTAGGGCAGGACTGCCAGAGCATCTCAAGCCCAAAGTAATAGATAAGATTTGTCTATATAAAAGGATTAGTGACTATGTATATGAGCAATTCACTGACAACAAAGGAAAAATGACACATTGGACAGCTTTGAATATTAATGTGACTTCATTACAACAATCATTAACTGGAGTAACAGTATAACACCAAGAGTAAAATAATAGTAATAATAGTAAAAACCTCATATATTACATACTTAAGCATTTCGAACCTTTAAGTAGTAGCATTTTATGAAGTCATTGCCAGATTCGTGGGAAATTGCTTTCCAACTAAGGCTGCTTACATTTATTGAAAAATTATCTTGTTTTCTTATTTTAAACAAAGATACAGTTAACTCTTGAATAATGTGGGATATTAGGGGCACTGACCCACACAGTTAAAAATCTACATATAATTTTCTTTTCTGAGATAAAGTCTTGCTGTGTCACCCAGGTTGGAGTGCAGTGGTGTAATCATAGCACACTGCAGCCTCAAACTCTTAGGCTCAAGGGATCCTTCTGCCTCACCCTCCTAAGTAGCTGGGACTACAGGTGTGCACCACCAGATCTATCTAAATTTTTATAATTTTTTATAGAGATAGTTCTCACTATATTGCCCAGGCTGGTCTTGAACTCCTGGTTGGCCTCCAGCAATCCTCCCATCTCAACCTCCCAAAACTCTGAGATTGCAATCTTGAGCCACCACACCCAGCACATGTATAACTTTTGACTTCCAAAAAACTTAACTACTAATAGCCTATTGTTGGCCATAAGTCTTACTGATAACATAAACAGTCAGTTAACACATATTTTGTATGTTGTGCATATTATATACTGTATTTTTACAACAGAATGAGAAAATATAGAGAAAGGAAAATGTTATTAAGAAAACCATAATGAAGAGAAAATATATTTACTATTAATTAAGTGGAGGTAAATCATCAAAAAGATCTCCATCCTCATCTTCACATTGAGTATTCTGAAGAGGAGGAGAAAAGGGAAATGTTGACGGTGCTGTCTCAGGGATGACAGAGGTGGAAAAGGTAGAGGAGGTGGAAGGGGAGGCAGCAGAGACAGATACAATAGGTATAACTTTTATTGACAAGAAATATTTAAAATACTGCAGGAGTTTTGTCTTTTTTTTAAGATGGCAGATTGGAGACTGTTAGTATGCCTCTCCCACTTAAAAAGACAAAATACTGTGTAGAGATTCATGCTGTGAACTTTTTCCAAGAAGTAAGGCAGGAACTTAACAGGAGAACTAAAAACACCTACAGACCCGTTGAAGGAAGCAGTGGGCTGCAGCCTACATTGTGAGCCAGGCAGAAAACTGTTAAGTCCTCAGAGTGTTAGATGGGGATAAACTGCCTCCAAGATACATACTCCCACTGGGGAACCTAGCAATCAGGGCCAGGAAGGAAGGCCTTAACCCTACACAGTGCTGCAACTGATTTAGTGGGCACTGGCAAATACATGAGAAGGAGCGGCATTGGATCATGCTTTGAGAATTCCCAGTTTCCAGCAGGGACAGAAAGAAGCCATCCATGATCCTTTTTCACAGGGTACCTCATGGAAATTGGTCAGCTAATTCAGGTGGTGGTTGCAGGTTGAGAGAAGCTCCCATCATTGGTGCTTTAATCTCAAGTGGGGATGAACTCCCTTGGCCAGAACCAAGAGGCCAGTGGGAAGTGTGCTATAGACATGGGTGCAGGAGCTGGGCACCACTGCTTCATGGGCAGACTGGGAGGGGCATGGCCTGAAAGCCATGGTTTCTTTCTCAATAGGAAAGGCTTGAATTCTGAGTGCAGACTACCCAGAACTTAGCTAGGTGCTTGTAAGGATTATTGCTGAGTTTAAAATGAGGAAACTGAGGCCAGCACAAAAAGATTAAATGCCAATTTATTCAGCTCCCAGACAAGGTTCTGTGGTCCCAGGGAAAGAGGCCAGGGAAGTCACGCTTGACTCTTCTGGGTGTGGGGTTTTATAGGGAGTGAAGGCGTTTGATTGGTTGCATGGAAACAGGGCATGGTTGGGGCAGGCTGCTATTGGTAGGTAGGCGGGATTTTCCAACGGCAGGCTACGTGCCGAGTGCAGAGCTTAGTGCTGAGTGCAGAGGGGTTTTCCAAGGCGGGCTAGGTGCCAAGTGCAGAAGTGGGCATGTCCGAGCTCCCTATGAGGCAACCAACCTTACATTCCAACCCTTTTGATGATATAGGATGCCTCTTCTTTCTGATTACTTCCTGTTGAATAGGGGTGCAGTGAGGGGAAAGGGTCAGTTGGCTGGTGCCTCAGTTGGGAGTTGGACATAGGGGTGAAGCAGCAACTGGTTTACGGCCATCCTGGAAATTTCCCTTATACGAGCTTATAGAAACCTGAGGACAAAAGGGGCTAGCATTAGCAAAAGACAAACAATGATAATGGGGATGATAATAGAAGCCAGCCAGGTGAGCATGGGGGAATGCCACCAGGTAAGAGAAGAGCCCGGTGCAGTTTGTTTTCTTCAGAGGTCTTCTTGGAGGCAATAGAGAGTCCTGACATTCTCTTCTACTAGACCCATTTCATTGATGTAATAGCAACACTGCTCCTGAAGAAACAAACAGGTACCTCCTTTTTCCGCCATTAACAGGTCTAGGGCCAGTTGGTTTTGGAGAGTTACCTGAGCCGGCGACGTGATTTGTCATTGGAGGGATGCCAGAGAGGCGGCTGATGCTTCAATGGCTACACGGAGCTTGTCTTCGAGCTGAGCAGCTAAAGTGACACTGTAGCCCATTGCTCCGCTTCATATCCCAGCAGCCACTAGAGAGGATGCTAAGGAGAGGCCGACTACTATTGCGAGGAAGGCAGCTTGTTTGTTTCGGCGAGTAGGGGGAGGTGTGATGAGGGATAGAAGCTCAGCTTGCCCGTATACCTCTAATTGTGGGACCAAAGTGGCAGGCACACAAGGGAAGGGAAAGGAGGCATTAATAACTTTGGTTAGTGTCCCATTACACCAAAAGTATCCTCCTAGAGGCACATAAAGGGAGGATTTTACTTTTACTGTAGTGTTGCCACTGGAGCTCTTGGCTGTTCCGTAGCAGAGAAAGAGATTTTGAAAGTGCACCTTGAACAGCGGGATACCTGTTAAGGTGGTATTAGGCTCCTCTCTCCCTCTCTCTTTCTCTCTCTCTCTCTCTCTCTCTCTCTCTCTCTCTCTCCCCCTCCCCCTCCCCCTCCTTTTTCTTTCTCTCTCTATCTTTTTCTCTTTTTTTCTCTCTCTTTTCTCTCTCTCCCTCACTCTCTTTCTTTCTTTCTTTCTCTCTCTCTCTTTCTTCCTCTTTTTTTCTCTCTTTGTACCTGCTTAATTGTCTGTTGTAGACTTGGTGAGAAAAAGAGGAGCTGCACAAAGCGGTGTAATGCCTTAGGCTCTATATGTAAGGACTGGTGAATTTTAGCAATAATTTTAGGGGCTTGTTCCCGTGGAAGGGCAATTTTGTTGTTTAAGAAGATCCAGCCCTGATTAGACTCGGTTCCCCCCCCCCATAATATGAGGGTCTGTTTTTCTGATGGCGAATAAACCGGCGGCATGGCTGTGGTGAAGAACAGGACCGGAGTGGGGTCTAGCCTGGTACTGGTCAAGGATTTTGCTGCCACATCTGCCCTTGCATTGCAGGGCCTGGTGCCCTCGGCAGTGGATGACAGCGACTTCTTTGGGCAGTGATAGGGCCTGCAGCAGATCAGAGATTTGGGTAACATTAATTATGGGGGACCCTTTTGTAGTAAGAAATTCCTGCTCTTTCCAGAGGGCAGAGTGGCAGTGGGTAATAAGAAAAGCATACTTTCAGTCAGTATAGATGTTTGCTCACTTTCCCTGTGCACACTTGAGAGCTTGGGTTAAGGCAATGAGCTCTGCCTTTTGTGATGTGGTTCCATCAGGGAGGCGGCATGCCTTGAGGGTGGCTGAATCTGTAACTACTGCATAGGCTGCTTTTCGCTGCCCCTCAGCTGTCACTATTGAACTCCCATCTACATAAAAGGTAAGGTCTGGGTTAGGTAGGGGGAGGTCAGACAAGCCATCTCGAGGTTTAGTAAGTGCCTCTATTAGTTCAAGACAGGAATGGGCTGAGGAGGGGGAATGAGATGGAAGGGGAAGCAGGGGAGCTGGGTTGAGTGGAGAAGTGGGATCAACGCTGACTGTAGGATTTTCAATAAAGAGTAGATGAAATTCCTGTAGGCAAGAGGGTCCTAGGTGAGGGAGGGATTTGTGAGAGAGAAGGTCAGTTAGCCAATGGGGAGCAAACATTTAGATGGGCTGGCCTAAGTTCAGTTTTAGGGATTCCTTGGTGAGTTCTGTTGCCGCCCCCAAGGCTTGCAGGCAAGGCTGCCATCCCCTGACCATGGAGTTGAGTTGTTTCGATAAGTAGGCTACTGGATGATACACGGGGCCCAGGGGTTGGGTTAAGACCCCAACTGCAATATGCTGTTTTGCATCAGTGAACAAATGGAAGGGGCGGCTGAGATCTGGCAGTTGGAGCAGGGGTGCTGTGGATATGGCAGTTTGTAGGGTTTTAAAAGCTTGTTTTACTACCCCAGGATGGGAGAAGGGTCCCATGGGTGTGTCTTTAACAGCTGCATACAGAGGTTTAGCTAGGCAGGCAAAATTAGGTATCCAGTGGTGGAAAAATCCTACAAACCCTAAATAGGAAAGAATTTGGTCAGCCATCTCTGGAGGCTGTAGCGAAAGGAGTGCCTTTTGGCGATTTGTTGTTAGGCTCTTAGTTGTAGGGGTGAGGCAAATGCCTAAGTAGACTACTGAGGTGACTGATAACTGTGCCTTGGAGGGAGATACCTGGTACCCTTGAGATCCCAGAAAGTTAAGGAGAGTGGCAGTGTGTTGCTGAGTCAGGGAGAGGGAGGGGCTACAAAGTAACAGGTCATCCACATACTGAAGAAGGAGACTGGGTTGCAGGGAGCAGGAGCTGAGGTCAGCTGCTAAGGCTTGTCTGAAAATATGGGGGCTGTCTCTAAATCCCTGGGGCAGGACTCTCCATGTGAGCTGCTATGACAGGTTGGTGTCAGGATCGGTCCAGGTGAAGGCAAAAAGGAAGTAAGACTTAGGGTGTAGGGGAATGGTAAAGAAGGCATCCTTGAGGTCAAGAACTGTCAAATGGGAGGTAGTGGAGGGAATTCTGGATAACAGGGTGTATGCGTTGGGACTACAGGGTGGAGGGGTACCACTGCCTCATTAATAAGGTGTAGGTTCTGAACTAGGTGGTGGTCGCCAGCGGCTTCTGGACCGGCAAGATAGGAGTGTTACAGGGGGAACTGGTGGGGATAAGGAGTCCTTGGGCTAGGATTTGGGTAATGATAGGCTTTAGACCCTGACGGTGAGTTTTTGAGATGGGAAACTGAGGACCTGAGGGAAAGTGGATAGGATTTTTTAGAAGTATCTTAACTGGAGTGTGATGTCTGGCCACTACGGGCTTGGAGGTGTCCCATACTGAGGGATTGACTGCCTCAGGAGGAATAGGGGGTTCAGGCAAAGGGTTAATACAGGGCATGGTGTCGGTTAAGAGTGGCAAGAGGAGGTGGGCTGGTGATGGGCTTGAGTGTGGGGGCCAGTGAGTTGGAGAGTGGCCCCCACAGTTTGGAGAATATCTCATCCTAAAAGGGGGACTGGGCATGAGGGTATGATTAGAAAGGAGTGGGAGAAGGGATGTCCTTCAAGGACACAGGCTAAGGGATGAGTTTGGTTAGGACAGGAAGGCTTTCCATTAATTCCCATGTCTGAAACCTGGGAAGGTATGCTAGGTCCTGAGTAGGAAGGCAATACAGGATAGATAGCCCCCATATCCACTAAGAAGAAAATGGACTTACCCACTACCTGCAGCATTACCCTGGGCTCGGCGAGGGTGATGGGGGTCCTCGAGTCCGGGCTCCGTCAGTCGTTCGCAATGCCGAGAAGTTCAAGCAAAGGGACTGCTTCCTGCGGACCGGCTTGCCCCTCACATAGAGGTGCGGGGGGTGACCCTGTAGTCCGGGATGAGCAGTTAACCTTCCAGTGTCCAGCTTGTTTGAAACTTGGGCAAGGTTCGGGAGGAGGACGAGGACAGGGGCACTGCTGCGCCCAGTGTCCCTCCTGGCCACATTTAAAACAGGGCCTGGGCAGGGTCATAAAAGAGTTTTGGAAGGGCTTCTGTGGATCCCCTCCACCGGGTGCTTGGTGGGCTGCCGGCCTCAGGGCTGCTACAAGAGCTCGGGTTTGGAGGCTTACTTTCTGCTGCAGCCGGGCCTGGCGGGTGGCCTCAGCTTTTTCCTCTCAGCCCTTAAAAACCTTAAATGCCAGGTTTACCAGGTCTCGTATGGGAGTTTGGGGGCCCTCCTCAGCTTTTTTAAGTTTCCTCCTTATATCAGCCACTGGCTGGGAGATGAAGTGGGTGGCTAGGACTGTAGCCACCGCTAGGGAGGCCAGATCCAGCCAGGTATGGAGGATCATAGCATTAGTTAGTCGGTCAAGGAAGGAGGCTGGGTTTTCATCAGGACGCTGAGCTATTTCCCTTAACTTGTCATAATTAACTACCTTCTGAGCTGTGCTTTGCATGCCTGCTAGGAGGCACTGTAGCATTTGGTCTTGGTGGCGGTGGCCATCTTTACCAGTTTGATAGTCCCAATTAGGGTTGGCCTCGGGTACCACTGCCATGCCTACCAGCATTTGATTGTTTGTGAGATGCACCTGATCAGTGTGTGTTCAGGCCACTGTAAGAATGCGGTCATGCTCATCTGGTGTAAGGGTGGAGCACAGGATTACGTAGGTGTCATGCCAGGTAAGGTCGTATGCCTGGGTGAGGTAACAAAATTATTTGGTGTAAGCAGTAGGATTGGTGGAGAATGACCCTAGGTGCTTTTCAATGGCTGATAGATGGGAGAGGGAGAAGGGAACGTGCACTCAGACAATGCCCTCCGCTCCAGCCACCTTGCAGAGAGGACAGAGGAGAGAGGTTTCGTCATTGGAAGCACAGTACAAGCAAGTGTGGGCACTAACAGGAGAAGTCAGGTTGGAACTCAGAAGAGGAGGAGCAGGAGGGGTTGGCGAAGGGGCCAGAGGGATTGTGGGGGAGTTTTTTGCTAGGAGTACCTGGGCAGTATTGCAGGAGGAGCAGAGGTTGGGGTGGGAGTGGAGATGCCAGAAAGCCTGAATGTAGGGAAACTCTGCCCACTTGCCATTCCTTTGGCAAAAGTTATCCAGGTCTGTCAGGACATTAAAGTCGAGAGTGCCCTCTGGAAGCCATTTAGACTGGTTGCCCAGAGGGCACTGTGGCCAAGCCACAGTGGAGAGGAAGAGTAGCCTTTTCTTTTTTTTAGAAAGACCCAGTTTGGGTAGATTTTTGGCTAGGCATCCTAGTGGCGACTTGGGGTCTGGGTAAGATTTCTGATTATATATATTTCTGCAGTTAACTAAGGGTGAGGTGGGGACACCGGAAGGTGTTATACCCACTGCAGAATATCTGCTATTTCGAGGGAAGCAGGCCTGGACCACTGTGTATCAGCTAGTAGGAGCCTAATGAAACTAGCAAATTTACAGTAAAGACAGGACCACATATAGGATTAACGGACAAAGAGTGGATGCCCCTCGAGAGGGAGACCAGCTGATGCCTTCCCAGCCACATCCCCGAAGGGATGTTTCAGGGCGTCTTGGCTAAGGTGTACCCATATAACCCCTGGGCCTGGTTGCCTTCAGTTTCCTGAGGTGAATCACCGTTATGCCTTATGACATCCCCGTGGAACCACGGGTTGAGGCCCACACAAGCCCTGTAGCCATCTGGCCATGGAACTACACATAAACTCACTCCCTCACTCACTTGCTTGAGATTAGGAAGAGAAACCGAAAGTACAGTTACTTCCTAGACAGGAGCTTGTATGCCAAAGGGCTAGCTTGAGATAAACGTTTTAGTGGCAAAAGCTGGGGGTTTGGTCCTGCTGTGGGGCAGGGCCTGAGTTTGCAAACAGGGTCTTCTGATTTCTCAAACCTTGGCCACTGCTGCGGGGATGGTTGGAAGAGTGGCTCAGCATCCTGGGCCGCACCACCGAACACCGGAGGATACGAGAGGGTTCAGGAAGGTGGGGACGTCTCCCTCAGAATCCTGACCCTAGGAAACCCCTCACGGGAAGAAGACAAGAGTGTAGGGATGTCTCCTTTATGCTCAGGTTCTCGAGATGAGGCCTGGGCCCCGGGCCCATGGCGGGAAGGGAAGAAGTCCCTGACGCAGCCATGATTACGAGCAGGGAGTGCACGAGGCAAGCAACGGGAGAGGTTGTGGGCAATAGAAGCCTTACTTTGCAGCAGAGTGGTTCCCTGGTCTGGCTTCAGGTGGAGGAGTCAGTTTCCCCCAGGAGGGGTCCTAGAACTCCTCCCAGGTTTTGGCACCACTTGTAAGGGTTATCATCTCATCTCGAGGACCTGAGCGTAAAGGAGACGTCCCCACACTCTTGTCTTCTCCCCGTGAGGGGTTTCATAGGGTCAGGATTCTGAGGGAGATGTCCCCACCTTCCTGAACCCTCTCATATCCTCCGGTGTTTGGTGGTGCAGCCCAGGATGCTGAGCCACTCTTCCAAGTTTAAAATGAGGAAACTGAGGCCAGCACAAAAAGATTAAATGCCAATTTATTCAGCTCCCAGGTGAGGTTCCGTGGTCCCGGGGGAAGAGGCCAGGGCAGTCACACTTGACTCTTCTGGGCATGGGGTTTTATAGAGAGTGAAGGCATTTGATTGGTTGTGGGGAAATAGGGCATGGCCGGGGCTGGCTGCTATTGGTAGGTAGGCGGAATTTTCCAACTGTGGGCAAGGTGCCGAGTTCAGAGCTTAGTGCTGAGCGCAGAGGGGTTTTCCAAGGCAGGCTAGGTGCCGAGTGCTGAAGTGGGCACATCCGAGCTCCTGATGAGGCAACCAGCCTTACAGTGCTGATAGTGGAACACTGTAGGTGTGAAACCTGCCTTGCCAGGTATATGAGAACTGGGTAGGGCTTACTGCTGCCTGCTACTCCCCACTCCCTTAGCAGACTCTTCTGGGCAGCAGAGGCAGCTGCACTTCTCCCTGGAACATTACCCCAGGAACCAGAGAACTGCCTTCTGATTCCCCCTGGGATGGCTTCTTGCACCCACATGTGGAGAACCAGAGCACAGACTTAACCTGACCCAGCCGACACCTGGCTTTGCTCTTCCACCCATCCTAATGGCTTAACACAAAGGACAGAAACTTTTGTGAGGTCTATGGCACCACTCATTACCTGAGACAGTAGGGTAACTTTCCTGGGTAACACCTGAGACATCAGAGTACCCCCAGTGGGTAAATAACATAAGACAAGCACAAATCCACCACTACCACCACAGCTGGTGCTCTTTTGCAAATGTCACCCCCTGGCTAGAGACCACCTGACAAAGTCCATAACAGTATCTGCAGGCAGAATAACACAGCACCCAGGAAAGAGAAAACTTGTGCATAACCTCAGCCATTAGCATTGACTGCATCACCCTGGCTAACCAAGAGATCCTGAGTATGTTCACATGACTAGTTCACTACTACTACAGCTGGCATTTGAGAAAGCCAACACAGTAAGCCTATTTATATCTAAGAAATCTCACAGAATCTATATCATTCACCTGCCACCACATCAGAACTGGTGCTAATACCTGCTGCTGGGAGAACTGAGGACATGTCATGTCCCTAGATTCCTTGCAGACATTTCCCACTACCATTCTGGAGTGTGGCAGCCTCACTGGGCAGCTAGACCCAAAGGAGCAGTATTCACAGTAGTCTGGCCCTGAGTGACTCCTACTGCTAGGGGAAGAGGGAGTGTACAACATTAAGGGAGCATCTTGTGGGACAAAATAATCCAGATGGCAGGTCTTGAGTAATAAACTTTCCACATGGTGGGAAATTTCTTTCAGCAGAGGCACTGAAAGAAATTTCAGAAGGTGCAGCGCTGGGCTCAGTGAGAAAAGTCTGCCACTCTACCCCAACAGGCAGCCTGGATGCCCATGAAAGATCTTGGAGATGGAGACTTCTCCCCTTTGCCTACTACTACAGACACAGCTGAGGCTTCTCCCATGGGAACTTAGCATGAGTGTATCTGTAGACTGCTTTCTGGGATATTTCAGGGTAACGGCTTTTCCACAGAAGGAGCATCCTTCAAGTTCAGGCTTGTATGAGAGGTAGAATGATAGTTCCTTTCTACTTGGAATATCAAAAATCCTGCAGATAAAAAGAGGTGCCTATCTGATCTGAATAGCTGAAACACTGGGGTTCTGGTATGGGAGTTAGGTAGCTTTCCTGCTGGCCTGGCAGAGAAGCTGAACTGGTTCCCTCCTTTCCTGCCGAAAAGACCACAATTTCACTGAGAGTTCTCCCAGCTACCTTTGTCAAGGCTGTGATCTCTCCCCACCATGGGGTATTGCATTTACCCACATGTTTAGCTACATCTGGTTTTTACCCCCAGACAAATCCCCTACTGACCTGAAGCCTGAACTTTTCAACTCAGTAAATAAAATATTAGGTAAAAAATAACTAAATAAAAAAGTGTACACAAATGGGGGAAAAGATAAGCTTCCAGAAACATCTGCCATTCTAGCCCTGCCGGAGACAGTGAACCTGCTCACACACTGAGAACATTGCTACCATAGACAGCGTCTGAGAAAGCCTTCATACAAAGACTTTCTGTAACCAAGGAGCTCATACAGAGTCTTCACCTCTGAAAGTGCCAGGAGCCAAATTAGGTTACAAAAACTATAATCATTAAAGTCACAACCTCAAGGAGACAAAAAAAGAAATTTTTAAAAATCACAGTTGAATTAAAAATAAATCCAAAAATAATTAGAAGAAATAGTTTACCCAAATGAGAAGGAGCCAGAACAATAATTTTGGCAATATGAAAAGACAAGATACTATAGCACACCCAAAAGATTATATTAGGTCTTCAACAATGGCAAACCAAGATGAAATATTTAAAACACCAGATGAAGAATTCAAAGGATTATTAAGTTACTTCAGGAGATAAAGAGAAAGGAGAAAAATAAGAAAAATTTTTTTAAAAAGCAATTCAGGATATGAATAAAAACTTTTCTATAGAGATAGAAATTTTCAAAAACAATCAGAACTTCTGGAAACAAAAGACACATTTAAGGAATTATGAAATGCAGTGGAAACTTTTAACATTAGACTAGGCTAAGTAGAAGACAGAATTTCAGAGCTTCAAGACAAAGCTTTGAATTAATTCAATCAGACAAAAATAAAACAAAAATAAGTTTAAAAAAAAAGAACAAAGCCTCCAAGAAATATGAGGTTATGTAAAATAGCCAAACCTAAAAATCATTGGTGTTTCTGAAGGAGAAGAAAAACCAAAAAGTCTGGAAAACCTATCTGAGGGAATAATTACAGAAAACTGGCCTTGCTGGAGATTTAAATATACAAGTACAGGAAGTTTAAACAACTCCTGGGAGATTCATTGCAAAAAGGACATTACCGAGGCATTCGTCAACAAGCTATTTAAAGTCAAAGTGAAGTAAAGAATGATAAGAATAGAGGGAATAAAAGCACCAGGTAGCCTATACAGGAAAACCATAAGGGATTTGGGTTTTATCTTTAGCTTCCTTAAACAGAATAACTATCAACCAAGAATTTTGTAATCCAGCAAAACTAAGTTGCATAAATGAAGAAGAAATAAAGTCTTTTTCAGACAAGCAAATGCTGTGGGAATTTACCACTACCATATCAGCCGTATTAAAAAAAAATGCTAAAAGGGGTCTAAATCTTGAAACTAAAGGTCAATATGCACCAGAATAGAAGCTCTTGAAAGGCTTAAACTTGCAGGGCCTATAAAATAATAACACATGAAGAAAATAAAGCATCTAGGTAGCAATCAGCCTGATAATTGGAACAGTACCTCAAATCTCAATAGTAATGTTAAATGTAAATGGTCTAAATGTGCCACTTAAAAGATACAGAATGAAATTAAGGCAGAAATCAAGAAGTTCTTTGAAACAAATGAAAACAAAGATACAATACGCAGGAATCTCTGGGACACAGCTAAGTCAGTGTTAAGAGGGAAATTTATAGCACTAAACACCCATATCAAAAAGTTGGAAAGATCTCAAGTTAACAATCTAATATCAACTAAAAGAGGACAAAGAGCAGACGAACCCCAAAGCTAGCAGAAGACAAGAAATAATTGAAATCAGAGCTGAACTGAAGGAGATTGAGACACAAAAAAAGCATTTGAAAGATCAATTAAATTAGAAGTTGGATTTTTGAAAAATATTATTAAAATAGGGTGCTAATAAAGACTAGTTAGGGCTAATAAAGGGTAAAAGATCCAAATAAACACAATTACAAACAACAAAGGGGAGGTTACCACTGACCCCAAAGAAATACAAGTAACCATCAGAGACTACTATGAACATCTCTATGCACAGAAACAAAAAAACCTAGAAGAGATGAATAAATTCCTGGACACATACACCCTCCAAAGATTGAACCAGGAGGAAACTGATTCACTCAACAGACCAATAACAAGCTCCAAAATTGAGCTTGTTAATAATAGCCTACTGATACAGTTTGGCATGTCCCCACCCAAATCTCATCTTGAACTGTATCTCCCATAATTCCCATTGTTGTGGGAGGGACCTGGTGGGAGATAATTGGATCATGACAGCAGTTTTCCCCATACTGCTCTCATGGGGAGAAGTCTTATGAGATCTGATGGTTTTATAAGGAGAAACCCCTTTCGCTTGGTTCTCATTCTCTCTTTGCCTGCTGCCATCCATATAAGACGTGACTTGCTCCTCCTTGCCTTCCACCATGATTGTGAGGCTTCCCCAGCCACGTTGAACTATAAGTCCAATTAAACCTCTTTCTTTTGTAAATTGCCTAGTCTTGGGTATGGCTTTATCAGCAGCGTGAAAACGGACTAATACACCTACCAACCAAAAAAAGCCCAGGACCAGAAGGATTCACAGCTGAATTCAACCATATATGCAAAGAAGAAATTTACTATTCCAGCTGAAACTATCCCAAAACAATTGAAAAGGAGGGACTCCTCTCCAACTCATTCTATGAAGTCAGCATCATCCTGATATCAAAACCTGGCAGGAACACAACAAAAAAGAAAACATCAGGACAATAGCCTTGATGATCATTGATGCAAAAATCCTCAACAAAATACTTACAAATCAAATCCAGCAACACATCAAAAAGCTATTTCATCACAATCAATTAGGCTTTATCCCATAGGTTCAACATATGCAAATCAATAAATGTGATTCATCATAAACAGAACTAAAGACAGAAACCACATGATCATCTCAGTTCAATATCCTTTCATGTTAAAAACTCTCAACATATTAGGTAATGAAGGAATATACTTCAAAATAATAAGAGCCATTTATGACAAACACACATCCAACAACATGCTGAATGGGGATAAGCTGGAAGCATTCCCCTTGAAAACTGGTACAAGTATGCTCACTCACCACTCCTGTTTGACAGAGTATTGAAGACCCTGGCAAAACGCAATCAGGCAAAAGAAAGAAATAAAGCGTATTCAAACAGGAAGAGAGAAGGTCAAACAATTCCTGTTTGCAGATGACATGATTTTATATCTAGAAAAACCTGTAGTTATGGACAAAAAGCTCCTGAAGCTCGTAAACATCTTCAGCAAAGTTTTATGATACAAAAATCAGTGTACAAAAATTACTAGCATTCCTATACATCAACAATAGCCAAGCCAAGAGCCAAATCAAAAACACAATCCCATACACAATTACCACAAAAAGAATAAAATACCTAGTAATATAGCTAAAAAGGGAGGTGAAAAATCTCTACAATAATGAAATTACAAAACACTGCTTAAAGAAATCAGAGACGACAAAAACAAATGGAAACGCATTCCACATTCATGGATAGGAAGAATCAATATCATTAAAATGACCGTATTGCCCGAAGCAATTTAGACACTCATTGCTGTCAAACCGCCAATGACATCCTTCACAGAACTAGAAAAAAGAAAATATTTAAAATTGATATGGAACCAAAAAAGAGCCCAAATAACGAAGGGAATCCTGATCAAAAAGAACAAAACTGGAAACATCATGTTACCCAACTTCAAACTATGCTACAGGGCTAAAGTAACCAAAATAGCATGGGACTGGTACAAAAGCAGACACAAAGATCAGCTGACCAGAATAGAGAGCCCAGAAATAAGGCCACACACTTACAGCCATCTGATCTTTGGACTCCCTATTCAATAAATGGTGCTAGCCTAACTGGCTAGTTAAATGCACACAATTGAAACTGGATCCCTTCTTTACACCACATACAAAAATCAACTCAAGTTGGAGTAAAGACGTAAATATAAAACCTGAAACTATGAAAACCCTGGAAGACAAACTGGGCAATATCATTTTGGACATAGAAACTGGCAAAGATTTCTTGACGAAGACACCAAAAGCAATCACAAAAAAGGCAAAAAGTGACAAATGGGATCTAATTAAACTTAACAGCTTCTGCACAGCAAAAGAAACTATTAACAGTGTAAACAGACAGCCTACGGAATGGGAGAACATATTTTCAAACTACATCTGACAAAGGACTAATATATAGCATCTAAGAGGCACTTAACCAAATTACAAAAGCAAACAAAGAATGCCATTAAAAAGTGAGCAAAGGATATGAACAGACACTTTTCAAAAGATGACATATATATGGCCAATGAGCATAGGAAAAAAAGCTCAATATCACTGATTACTAGAGAAATGCAAATCAAAACAACAAGGAGAGGCTGGTCACAGAGGCTCATGCCTATAGTCTCAGCATTTGGGAGGCTAAGGTGGGCAGATCATTTGAGCTCAAGAGTTTGAGACGAGTCTAGGAAACATGGCAAAACCTCATCTCTGCAAAAACTACAAAATTTAGCTGGGAGCAGTGGTGCATGCCTGTAGGCCTAGCTATTTGGGAGACTGAGGTGGGAGGATCACTTAAGCCTGGTAGGCAGATATTACAATAAACCAAGATAACCAAGATGGTACCACTGGGGCAACAGCAAGATGCTGTCTCAAAAAAAAGAAAAAAGAAAAAGAAAATCAACAAACCAAACAAATGGCTTTTAATAAAAAGTCAAAAAATAACAGATGCTGGCAAGGTTGCAGAGAAAAGGGAATGATTATACCCTGTTGGTGGGAGTGTAAATTAGTTAAATGATTGTGGAAAGCAGTGTAGCAACTCCTTAAAGAGCTGAAAACACATCTACCATCTAACCCAGCAATCCCATTACTAGGTATATATCCAAAGGAATAGAAATCATTCTGCCATAAAAACACATGCACGTGTGTGTTCATTGCAGCATTTATTCACAATAGCAAAGACATGGAATCAACCTAAATGCCCATCAATGGCAGATTGAATAAAGAAAATATGGTACATATACAACATGGAATACTACACAGCCATAAATAAGAATGAGATCATGTCCTTTTCAGAAACATGGTTGGAGCTGGAGGCCATT